AAAAATTGATTATACATATTTTGGGGGTTCAACACTGAGATATGTTGATCAAATCAATATTACTAGCATATATATTGTTACAAATCGTAATTATTCTTTATGCCCCTTGTCCAATCTCTCCCCATCCCCTTCTTGCTCCCCTTCCCCCCTCTAATTATCCTAGATTTCTTCTCTCCTGAAAGAGTAATGGTTACTCTGTTGATTTGTTGTCTAGATGATCTGTCCAATGCTGAGAGGTGTGATCATGTCCCCCAATATTATCATAGAGCAGATGCTTTTTCCATCACTCTGAAATGGGCTTTGTGGAGAGAGACATCCTCTTCTTTCCTTTAGCTCTGCTGGTGACTCTCCTATGTCAGTGCACTCCAGTGGCTGGCAGACCATCTGTGTGGTGGTTGTGGTGTCTAGCCTCTTTCGCAGCAGCCATGGTTATTGTGGCTGTGGTGGGCCACCCACATGGAGGTGATGTTTTTGGCATGCTCCTTGGTGCTGGTGGTGTGCCTGGTTGTGGGAGGGGGGCCCGTCCCCGGTCTCTGGCTCCAAGTATCCGGTTCCCAGGCAGGCCCCAAGGCACTGGGGATGTGCCTGGCCTCGAACTAATTTGTTGTCCTTTGCTTCTAAAACGGGGGAACTTCCTGTGGGAACTTCCTGTAGGAACTAGTACTTGAGCTGTGTGGTTGAGCTAAATGCTGCTTTGCTGCTGTTTCCCTAGGGAAGGCTTTTTGTGCAGCTCAGGGTTTATTGGTTGCCCTTATATGTACTTCTGGCTCTCCAGAGACCTGTTGGATCTGTGTTGTGTAGAAACTCTGATCTGGGCCTGTGAGTTTTTTCATCAAACTGCACCCCATGCAATTCTGCATTCTCAACCAGTCTCCTCTGAGTGGACCTGTGCTGATTGGGGGGGTGCATCGGCTGTCTCTGTTGTGTCCCAGTGTTCTCCCAGTTGGCCTGTCTCCCCTACTGCCCCTGCTCCAAACACTTCCCATGTGATGGGCCCTGCCCCAATCCTTTGTGATGACTCACCTGCCTCTGAATGGCTCTTTTTTTTCAGTTCTGGCCCCTCGCTCCTGGGTAGGTCCATGGGAACCCTATTAGTGGTCTTGCTGTCCTGGGGGCTGCCAAGGCCCTCTTCTCCCCTGCCATCTCCATGTAACTCCATTTGAAGGGCACAGCTGCGGCTCCTGCACTCCTGCTCCATGTGCTCATCAGCTCAAGCCTTAAAGAGGCCACAGCCTGAAACCCTCAGAGCAGTTTTTTTCTTCCTCTGATTGTGGTTTCTCTCGCCTTCATGAACTCCATGGGTCTCTCCTCCTCTTCCCCTGAGCTCCAGCGGCCCCAGCTTGGCTGATGTTACATTTTTATAGTTGTAAATTGGTTGATTTGTGAGAGGGAGTGATGTCGGGAACCATGTATTCTGTCTTTCTAATGTTTTTAAATTTAAATATGTCATTGTGTGAAAACCTGTTGTATTCTATTTTTAAAATAAGTATACAGACTTTCTCATCTCTATGGCCGGATCTCTTAATTAATAGGTGAGATTTTCTTCCTTAAAGATCAGTGCTGACCAAGGTTTTGAAATAATGTAAACAACACTTTTAAAAGATGCTATGTATGGTCAAGTTTGTAGTAATGGGAAAATATCAAATAAAAAAAAAACTAACAATCTCATGAATTGTGTTCCATCGTCAGGGTTTCAGAGTTAGAATCCATTTTTGTTCATTTTGTGACTTGTTTCCGAAGCTCATCCAAGTTTACTCAGTATTCAATAATATGTCCTTTCCCGTCCGAGATTACTGGGGAGTGTACTCACATCAGTTTTCTATTGCTGCTGTAATAATTAACCACAAGCTTAGTGGTTTAAAACAACACAGGTTTGTTAATCTTACAGTTTTAAAACAACACAGGTTTGTTAGTCTTACAGTTCTGTCGTCAGAAACCAGACACAAGTCACACCAGACTAGAACCAAGGTATCAGGCAGGGCTGCTTTCCTTTCGGGACGCTCTAGGGGAAAATCCATTTCCTTATTCATTCAGGTTGTAGGACTGACGTCTCTGGAATTTGCTGATGTTCCTTGTTTCAAGAAGGCGCCCTCTTTGGATCATTGACCTGTCCTCAAAGCCAGCAATAGTGCGTCAAGTCTCTCTGAAAAGAGATTTAGAATCTCCTGCTCTTTCAGCTTCCCATCTCTTCCAGCCACTCTTCTTTCTGCCCCTGCTTTTAAGAGACCTTGTGATTACATTGAGCCCATTGGATAATGCAGGATGATTTCTCCATTTTAAGATCAGCTGATTAGCAACCTTAATTCCATCTGCAACCTTAATTTCCTTTTCCCATGTAAAGTTAACATATTCCCAGGTGTGAAACCAGAGATCAGGGCAAAGGCATCTTAGGGGAGCCATTATTCTGCCCACCACATCCCTGAGGAACATCGTCTAGAATGTTTTGTTTTCCTGGTCTTAATACAGCAGGCTTAGGTTTCTTAGGTTAGTGTTTTATCACTTATAAAGCTGCCTTGGAAACCATGGAACCCCTTAAGGGGTGGTTTATGAAATGCTTCTTGGCAACTCTTGTTAACTTACTTTTTTTTTTTTTTTAGCATTACAGACTTCCTTAGTTTTTTCCAGAGATTTTGGTTTGCTTGTATTTGTTCGGAAATCACTTAGCTTTGATGAAGTAAGTTAAAAATTTTCATCTTGCTTTTTTTGTATATTCCTTTGTGTTGAAGTAACTCTTGATTTTATCCTTATTTACTATGTGTATTTCTTTTATTATAGTTTCGTGATTGCAGAGAAGAAGTCCTAAAATTTTTATGTGTTTTCTTAGAAAAAATTGGCCAGAAGATCATGCCATACTCTCTTGATATTAAGGTAAGGAGGGAAAAAACATACCTCGTTATGTATTAACATCTATGTTAACTTATGATATAAGTAACTTGAATTTTTATTTTATGCCTTTCTTGTTGGGGAGTTTACTTATTTCTGCTTGATTGTGTTAGAAATGAAGTGGGCTACTCTTTTTTTTTTTTTAGATTTAGTAAGCTAAGGCTCTTGTCAGAGAAATTACTCTGATAATTTTTTTTGTAACTATCTTGATATCTTTTTGCACATGGGGTAAATGATACCTTTTATGAAAAGCTATAATAAGTTGGATTTTTTTTAAATTGTGGGGAGATTCCAGAACACTTTAAAAGACCATTAAAGAATCCTCCCATTGGGTAAGGTCCATATTTCCTGTAGTTGATGTGTTCTCTTTGACGACAGTCTGAAGAGTTTGGCTCTCTCATGCTTTCCATCCTTCTCCAACCTGCCCTCCCCAGGTTTCCTAATAATTTACTGTGGAAGTAGCAATCATAAATTAAGTTGTTCTTTCTCAGCTTTTCTGTACTTTCTACAATTGCCACATCTCAAAGTAAGTTGTTTTTGTTGGTCCTGAATTTGCTTGTAGGTCTAATGTGCTAAGAGTTGATGAAGAAGTATATATTCAATCTGAGGTCATTTACAACAAGATGTTTTGTAAATTATAATGAGATAAAAATATATGAACTATTACTTTTAATGGTTATCAGTGTTTTGACTTATGGTCTATCTTGATTGGAATCTTAATATTTCTTTCTTTTTTTTTTTCCCCTTTTTGTCTTTTTTTTTCATGACCGGTAACGGGATCGCAACCCTCGGTGTCGCGCCCGTATCGCGACCGGCAACGGGATCACAACCCTCGGTGTCGCGCCCGCACCATGCTCAGCCAGTGAGCGGACCGGTCTCTATATGGGATCTGAACCCTCGGCGGGAGCGCCGCCATGCTCCCAAGCGCCGCACTCTATGAGTGCGCCACCGGGCTGGCCCAGAATCTTAATATTTCTAAAGATTGTCTGAGCAGTAGGAGTAGCTAATACTTGCAGTGCTTCACAGTTTACAACGTTCTTTAATCTGCAGTTTGTCTTAATTTTTACAAAAATGCTGTGAGCAAGGTATTCTTACTCTCTCTGGCTTACAGATGAGACTTAGAAGTTAAGAAACCCACCCGTCTTGTGGAGTCAAGTTGCCTCATTCCAGGGTGCCTGTTGTTTCCTTATGTCGGGCTGTTTTCTGAGAGAGTCCTGGTCACTCTTAGAATTTCTTTAGTCACCCCATTTCTATTTCTATTTCTTTCTTGATATATGGCAACAAGTGCTATGGAAAGTATGTAAGGAGGAATGGCTTGTTTTTTTGTTTTTTTTAATAATCCTGCTGAGGTGTCCATTTATTTTGTGTTTCTTTTGGTTATTGTTGATAGCATTACCACAGTATATTGCATCAATGTTTTCAGTAATTTCTGGTGTCTACAATCATATGCTCTAATGTTAAGCTTTTAACAGCTAAATAGTAAATATCAATAGCATACATTGGTATTGCTTCTTTCTGAAAAACAAGTTTTAGCTGTTGTTAATTCTTAGTTCTTATAACTTATTGACAATTTTGGTATATCTCCTTTTAACATCTAGAATATTTGTACCAGCGTTTATACAAAAGATAGAGCTGCTAAATGTAAAATCCCAGCCCTAGACCTTCTCATTAAGGTAATTTTATATTTTTAAGTACATGTATTTTATTTAACATATAACATAAAACAGAAAATTGGAGTTTTGAGTTTTGTTTTTGGGGAGGATAGGATTGAAGCACATTGATGCATGGGTAAGATGTGCATTTTCCAACTGTCACTTGACAATACCCTGTGTATTCGTCAGTTTTCTGTTGCTTATAGCAGAATACCTGAAATTGGGTAATGTATAAAGAAAGTGAAATTCATTTCTTACAGTTTTGGAGGCTGGGAAGTCCAGGTCTAGGGGGCACATCTAGTGATGGCCTTCTTGGCAGGGACTCTACAGGGTCCTGTGGTGACAGGATAGCACATGGCTAGGGCTGAGCAAGAGTGTGTGTGTGACATTCTTCTTCCTCTCCTTATGAAGCCCCCTAGTGCCACTCCCGTGATAGCCCACTCATCTATTAACCCATTAATGCATGAGTGAATTAATCCACTCATGACAGCATAGACCTCATGGTCCGATCACCTCCCAAAGGCCTCACCTCTCAAGTACCATGTTGGGGATTCAGCTCCAATGTGAGCTTGGGGGACACTGAAACCACAGCACCCTGGTACTTTGTCCTCAGACCCTTTGGGGTAATAAAAGAAGAATTTGAGTTTGTGAGGGGAATGAAGGAGAAAAATAACTAAGGAATTTACTGCTTTTCTGTTTACCACCCTTACTGCCTTTACCACCTTCGGCAAAACCTAATGCTATTAGGATTTGCCAAAAGGTCACCTCATTGTATCTCTGAGTTTTTTCCTGAAACCTCAGCAGTGGAAATAGGTCTATGCATTGCATTTAAGTGGATGTCCGGGTCTCTCACCTGCATCTCTGCCTCTTTTTGCATCTCTCAAAATTCTTTTGGGTCTGATTGGTCCGTGGTCTTGAGTGCCTCTGAGAGAATGGTTCTAGTCATGTTACTGGTTTCTTAGAAAGGTAAAATTAAGCCTAGATCATCCTTCCCCTTGTGTTCTTCCACCACCCACCTCAACTTTCACCTCCCAAATAATCTGGTTAGATGCGAGTCCTGAGAGGCCAAGTTGAATCCCCTAGAGACACAGGATTCTGAAACTTTGCTCTATGAAGATGCATGGAGATAGAGGATGCCTTTTCTTTATTTTCCTCTCTAGAAAATGCTAATTTGTATTCTTTTAGTTACTCCTGACTTTGAGAAGTTCTAGACTCATTGATGAATTTAAAGTTGGAGAATTATTTAGTAAATTCTATGGAGAACTTGCATTGAAAACAAAAATACCAGATACAGGTGAGATGCATTTAAATATTATTTTTAAATATTTTAATACATTAACAAATTATTAGCGTAAGACAGATTTCCTNTACAGGTGAGATGCATTTAAATATTATTTTTAAATATTTTAATACATTAACAAATTATTAGTGTAAGACAGATTTCCTCTACCGAGATCTTTATATGTTTTACAGATGAATTCTTTATTCTGAAAACAAACCAAAATGGAAACAAACAAAAACAGTGTGTGAAGACTTGCATTTATAAGATTGTTAATCTTTACAAAATGATTCCTTTAAATAGAAAACTCACAACACCTGTCAAATATAATTTAGTTTACAATAATAGATTCGCATAAAACTTATCAGCAAAGATTTCAGTTTGTAACACTAGATACTTTGTATGTCTTACTGTGAAATTACTTTTGAATTAAGCATTCTCTCATTTTCTTATTTATACATTTTTGTTAATTTAACTTATTTAAATGTATTTTTTGGCCTTCATTTGTCTAAAATTTATTTTTCAGTTTTAGAAAAAGTATATGAGCTCCTAGGAGTATTAGGTGAAGTTCATCCCGGTGAGATGATAAATAATTCAGAAAACTTGTTCCGTGCATTTCTGGGTGAACTTAGAACCCAGGTATGATAAACTTCATGATATTCCATTTTCATAGATTTGGTTGTATTTTTCTATTTTAGTGATATCTTCTTAAAACTTTACTTTTAGATGACATCAGCAGTAAGAGAGCCCAAACTACCTCTTGTGGCTGGATGTCTGAAGGGGTTGTCTTCACTTCTTTGTAACTTCACTAAGTCCATGGAAGAAGGTATTGCTTGGCTTCACTTGATTATCTTTCTCTACTTAAAACAAAAATTGCCTGTTTATTTTCTTGAACTTTAAAACAATTGTGAATTCACATGTAGTTGTGAGAAATAATCCAGAGACCCACCCGTGTGCCCTCCCCAGTTTCCTCTGATGATGGCGTCTCTTGTGACTTTAGTGTGATAGCACAACAGAATATTAACATCGATAACCATCCACTGACATTCGTCCGATGTCACCAGATTTACAAGCACGTGTTTGTGTGTATTTAGTTCTATGCAATTCTATCATGTGTAGGTTTGTGTATATGCCACTATAGTCAAGATACTAAACGAATTCATCACCACAAGGGTCCCTTGTGCCACCTTTTTTAGCCACAGCCACCTCTGTTCCTCCCCCACCCCCAATGATCACTAATCTGTCTCCATCGGTAGTTTTGTCATTTCAAGAATGTTGTACAAAGGGATTCATATGACTTTTTGTGTCTGGCTTATTTCATTTAGCATAATGTCTTCCAGGTTCATCCATGTTTTATCATGTGTCAGAATTTCCTTTTTAAGGATGAATAATATTCCATTATACAAATATACCACATTTTGTTTATCCGTTCATCCATGGATGGACACTTTTTGGCTGTTAATAGTGCTGCCGTGAACACTGATGTACANTTTTTTTTTGATAATGGCCATCCTAATGGATGTGAAGTGGTATCTCACTGTGGTTTTGATTTGCATTTCCCTGATGACTAGGGATGTTGAGCATCTTCTCAGGTGCTTATCAGCCATTTGTTTATCTTCTTTGGAGAAATGTCCTGATCGTTTGCCATTTTTGAGGGGTGGAAGGGATAGCTGACCAGTATGGGGATCAAACCCTTTGATCTTGGTGTTACACCTTTGCCCATTTTTTAGGTTAATCAGGTTTATTTTTACTATTTGTTGTTGAGTCTTAGATGTTGTTTATATATTGTGGGTATCAATATCATCTCAGATTTATGATTTGCAAATATTTTCTCTCATGGTGTGGTTGCCTTTTTACTCTTTTGATTGTGTCCTTTGATGCACAAAAATTCTTTATTTTGATGAAGTCCAGTTTATTTTTTCTTTTGTTGGTTTTGGAGTCACATCCATGAAATTGTTACCAAATATCTCATTTGTTGCTTCTGCACCTTTGTAGAAAATCAGTTGGGCATGATTTTGTGGGTCCACTTCTGAGTTCTGTGCTCCATTCTGTTGGTCTCTTTGTCCCGAGGCAATGCCACACTGACTTTTTGACTATAGCTATATGGCAAGCCTTTGCCTTGAGTTGAGTAAGTCTTCCCATTTTATTCTTCTTTTTAAAAATAATTTTAGTATTATAAGGCCTATACTTTTCCATTATAAGTTTTAGAGTAAGTTTGTCTGTCTACAAAAAACCTTTTTGGGATTCTGATAGGCATTGCATTAAAACAGTATATCAGTTTGGGGAGAATTGACATCTTTATTATGTTGAGTTTTCTAATCCATGAATGTGGTATATCTCGCCATTTGTTTAGGTCTTCTTTGATTTCTTTCATCAGCATTTTGTAATTCTTAAGACATAGATCCTTACCTATTGATCTTAAATTCTGCTTAATATACTTTTCTTCATAGGTATCAACAAT